TTGATGGTTTTCCTAGCTTTAAGGCGTTGCAAGTCTCAATTTTGGCTCAAGTTGTGTTTAGCAGGCGTTGGATCAAGTTTTGTTGCAATTGGAGTTGAATTGAAGAAGTTAGAGTCCGACAATCGGCGCTTGAGAGGCATTCGGGAAGGATTTGAAGGCGTTCAAGAAAGATTTGAGAGATTTGGAGGTCACCGGGAGATTCACGACGAAATTCTGATGAAGAAAGAGCATTTGGATCGACCTCGTAGGCATTCGGGAGCTTTTGGAACAAGAAACGAAGAAAAATGATGAAGAAAAGACCAGGCACGACCGTGCCTGGGCCTGGCACGACCGTGCCTGGAGAAGACGGAGACACTGCCAGCCAGACACGATCGTGTCCGGGGCAGGCACGACCGTGTCTGCATCCGAAGCGCGCGATTCTTCCGTAGGCACGATTTCAGGCACGATCGTGCCTGGCATCGTGTTTGGCCCCGATTTGTCCTTTTTCAGCTCAAACTCTACTGTTTTCTATAAGTAAGGCCTCCATACCCCTTTTTACGGGTTACGAACATTGTGGAGAGGCCTAGGGACGAATTTAACATCGTTTTTACGCTATTTTCTTCCAAGACCTTGGGATTATTTGTAAGTTCGTCTTTTTAATTAATGACAATTTATTCTATTCATCGCAATTCTGTTGATTCTTCAATTATGAACTGTGAGTAGTTTAATTAGGGATTTGGGGTTGATGAAGGGGTTAATCATGATTGATGGCTAGATTCCTTTCGGTTTAATTGTATGAATGTCCGTTTAATTTGTGTTTGAATAATTTAACTGATATCTTTTGTAACCTAGACTGCAGCTAGAATTACAATTGCATGTAGAATGAATTAAGAGAGATCTAATTTGTTCTAGGACACATTCACACACACTTAATCGTTCGCTAAGAGATTAGTAACGATTAAGGGGCCGTAAGCTCGCTCGTCTTGGCAATAATTTAGGATCCTGTCGCATGAGAGATCAGCCTGGTCCCCTAAATTATTGTACTCTACGCCGCGAGAGCGGTAAGAACTTAGTAATGATTAGCTAGGCTCAATTAAATTAAAATCATGTAATTAGGCCTGATCTGCCAGAAATCTGGTTACCTCGGAATCAATCCCTGTTCCCTTCGTCGTTAGTTAATAAGAAAACCACATTTACTTTAATCGCTCATCTGCATTAGTTTTAATTTTAATTCAATCAACCAATCTCGCACAATTGCATTTTAGTTTTTTTTATTTCTTTTTAATCGCTGAATTTAGGTAATCTTTATTTCCCTTTTGTCCGTCCCTATGGAGACGATACTCGTACTTTCAACCACTTTTCTACAACCATTTTAAGTGCGAGAAAACTCACATCATAGCGCGCAAAATCCTTTTGGATAAAGGAGTGTGATAAGAATACTAAAATTTTCCACAACGCTGTCAAGCAGAGACGCAGAAGAAATAGAATGAAGGGGCTGAGACTCCCGAGTATAGAGTGGGAGTCAGATCGTACCAGACTTGGGCGTATAGTTGAGGATTATTTCTTTGAGCTATTCACCTCTCATGGCACACAGTTGGATGAGAGGACGATGGGGAGCTTGGCCAAGGTGAAGCCTGAACAGAATCACGACCTGGTGAAGCTGATTACGACTTTGGAGGCTAAGCGAGCTGTTTTCGATATGCGTCCTGACAAAGCCCCGAGGCCAAACGGCTTAAACCCGACCTTTTTAAGCATTATTGGGATTTGGGAGATAGTGGGCGAGGACGTGGTGCGTTTTTTCCAGCACATCATGGAATCAGGTAGAGTCACCCGCGAGGTAAATAAAACTAATTTAATTCTAATCCCTAAAAAAGAGAAACCTAAATGCATGAGGGACTGGAGGCCAATTGTTTTATGCAATGTTGTTTTTAAGATTTGCAATAAAGTCTTGGCTAATAGACTGAAATAAATTCTGAATGAGTTAGTCACTGTAAATCAGAGTGCTTTTGTTCCGGGCAGATCAATTATTGATAATGTTATGATAGCCTTTGAGTCACTACATTATTTAAAAAGGAAGACACGGGGGAAGGAGGGCTATGTCGCCCTAAAACTAGACATGAGTAAGGCTTATGATCGTGTTAAATGGGGTTATGTGGAAGCTATTATGTGTATTATGAATTTTGATGCTTGGTGGATTGTCTTGATAAACGAATGTGTAAAATGAGTGGAATATTTTATTCCTTTTGATGATGAGGTACTCGGACCGATTACTCCTAGCCGAGACATCGTTAGGGGGACCCACTGCCCCCCTACATATTTATTTTGGTTGTTGAAGGACTTAACACTCTTATTCACAAACAGGAAAGTATGGTCAACATTTTGGGAATATCTGTTTCGAGGGGAGCTCCAAGAATCTCCCACCTATTTTTTGCAGATGATAGTTTTCTTTTTCCCAGGGCTAGAGAAGGAGAATGTGAGTCTATTAAAAAAAATCTTGCAAATGTATGAAGGATGTTCTGGGTAGATGGTGAATTATCAGAAGTTTACAATTAAATTTAGCCCAAATCTTGATGAAGGAAGACGAAAGGTTGTTGGCGATTGTCTGGGGGTTAGGACAGAAGGAAATAATGCTTCTTATCTTGGTTTAACTTCATACATTATTAATCGGGTACGGAGTTGGAATAACAAATTTCTTTCAAAGGCGGGAAGAGAAATACTGCTCAAGACATTGATTGAGGGCATGCCAACTTATGCTATGAATGTGTTCCTTCTTCCTAAGTAATTATGCTCTGATATTGAGGTTATCATGAATGACTACTAGTGGCGGGGGGCTGGTCAAATCAGAAAATGGATTATTTGGAAAACTTGGCAATCACTTTGCTCTCCAAAACAGAAAGGTGGACTGGGCTATAGGTCCCTGAGGGAATTTAATTTAGCCATGTTGGGCAAGCAAGCATGAAGAATAATCAAGTACCCGGACTCGCTAGTAGAAAGAATTTTTAAAGCTAAATACTTCCCTAATTCTTCATTTGTGCAAGTCAAATTGGGGAATAATCCCTCTTTTATTTGGAGCAGCATTATACAGACTCAGGAGATGCTTGAGAAAGGAATACGGCGGAAAGTGGGCAATGGTCAGACCATATCGGTCTGGCGTGAACGGTGGCTACCAGGACAAGGATCGGGCCGGGTACAGTCAAGACTCCCGACAGAAGTTGCTAACATGAATGTAGCGGCGCTGCTCAATGAGCGGGGGGGGGGGGCCAATGGAACATGGAAAGGATTAATACTCTTTTTTCAGCTGAGGATAGCAGAGCTATTTTGTCTATTCCCATCAATAGCAGGAGACCTTCGGATGGGATTTGGTTGAATGAGAATAACAGAGGAATCTATACAATAAAGAGCAGTTACAGATTTCTATTTGGGGAGTGCACGGGTCAGAGATGGCTGTGATGGACTAAAATGTGGAATTTAAAAATCCCACAAAAAATGAAGTGCTTTGTTTGGAAAGTGATGACGGGGTGCCTACGTATTGCGAATAATCTTCTTCGCAGGGATGTGGAGATGGAAAGCGCTTGCAATATTTGTTAAGAGGAGGACGAATCAAAAGAGCACATATTTAAATCTTGTGGGATAGCTTCAATGGTGTGCAGGAGTTGGGGGGGCCGCTATGTCAGACAATGGCATGATTTTACTGACTGGATTGTTTTTTGTTTTGATAATTTGCAGGATGAAGAGTTGTGTACTTTTATTGCTAACTATGGAGTATATGGAAGACCCGGAATGATAAAGTTTGGAAAACCCAAGACGCGACTGGTGCCAATGTTTGGAAATTGGAGCTGCGATTCTACGCGGATGTAAGGCGGCTCAGGTAGTGATTGGTTGCACCGACAAGGCGGCAGGACAAGTGACTCGACAACCAGCGGCAGACAGTTAAAATTAATGTGGATGCAAAATAACAGACGCGCATAGGCATGGGTAGCACAAGGCAACTTAATTTATTGGAATCGGCTGGAACGTGGAAGGAGCAAGCTGGTCAGCGGAGATCACCGAAGCGATTGTAGTACGTGAGGCGCTGGCTTGGCCAAAAACACATAGTTGAGGGAGGATAGATCTGGAGACATACTCTCACGTGGTTGCATATGGATTGAAAAAGCGAGATAAAGATTCTTATTTGGACATTATTTTAGATGATAGAAGACTCAGTCTTCGTAATGAAGCTACGATAAATGTCATTCATGGTAAAAGATTCGCGAATGTAGTAGCTCATAAGTTAGCTAGAGTCGCCCTTTCTATGTCAGATGGTTTGATTTTTATGTGTTTTGTAATCTGCCTGATTGTATTCTCTCTCAGCTACATACCGAGAGTTTGAGTTAGTGGTGGACCGGACCCGGTCAGGTTCCGGTTCGGGCCTAGGCCCCGACGAGCCTGGAACATTTTGGGTAAGGCCTAGAATCGGCCCAGGGGGTCTACCGGTTCCGGGCCGGTCCGGTTCCCGATTCATTTTTTTTTTGTTTTCTTATTTATTTCAACCCCTACCCCCCACCCCCCAAACCCATCGGAAACACCCAGCCCAGCTCACCTAAACCCAGCCCAAGACAAAAAAACGGCCCGAACCGGCCGGGTCGTTCGCCTTTTTAAGGCACCGGAACCGCTCCGATTACCTCCTCGGGTCGGGCCTAGGCTCGGAACCGGTTTCCCGGGCCGGGCCTAGGCTCGAAACCGGTTTCCCGAGCCGGGCCAGTCCCGCACAGTACCAGGCCGGGCCGTGTCCACCACTAGTTTGAGTTGAGTAATGATAAAATGTTCCTTTCAAAAAAAATAGGAGTATAAAAATAAGGATGTTTTCTTTTGGACTGTTTTCAGTCCCATATCAGACCAGACCAGACTTCCGTAGTTATAAAATACACAGAAACTAGACGTTTACTGGAACAGATAAGACTAGATCAAATAAGATCAGACTAGACCACACCAGCAAATTTCAGTCCAAAAGAAAACTGCATTTAAATTTACCCTTTTTTTACCGGGTCTGGTCTAATATGGAGCGGTCCATATAACTCCAGGTATTACCATTCAGAAGTCATACGAGCGGCCAGAACAACTCCATCACCTTCCTTCTTCTCTTCTGTAATCGCCGTGTTTTCAGTGACAACCGAAGGCGATTTCAAGAACTCTTTCGGACGGAGTTATCTTCAAAGCGGACAAGTAGAGTGTGAAGTTCTTCGACGTCAATATCTTTGATCGTACTGAGAATCGGAAATTGATTCAAACTCTGGACGAAGACCCTCCCAGGCGTGATTGGTGAAGTCTTCGTTGTCCACCGGTCGTCCGGCCATGGAGAGTTCATCTCCGAGAGTCCCAATGTGGTGAAGATAATCTCCTACAGACTGAGACCCTTGCTGAGCATGACGGAATTGGTCTTTTAAGCTCCGACCTTTGGTAGCTGAAAGGGTCCCATAGAGACGATCCAGCATTTCCAGACAGAGGCGGACGTTCGTGCAGAACCAATTAAAGGCTCGCAAGCTGGACTGAGAGAAGAAACTAGGGCATGATGGAGCAGACGATCCTGTCTGTTCCATAGGAGATGGCGAGCTGCGTCGCTTTCTGGAGGAGGAGACACATTTTCATCGATGTAGCAGTCCAGTTGGGAACAAATAGGAGGTCCATCACCTGATCTCTTCATACCAGGTAGTTTGACCCATCTAATTTTTCTGGAAACTGACTAGGGTTGGCATAATAATTCCTTTGGGTGTTATTGGTTGCGGTAGGAGGGGGATGGATTGGGATGATTTTCGATGTCTCCATGTCCCTGGAGATCCTCTGTTCGTCTGGCTTCCTGTTCATCGCCAGACATGCCTAGTTTGTGGCTGGTGAGAGCTCTTTTGGCTCTGATACCATAAAGAGATTCAGAAGGGATAGAATGTTTAGGCTGAATTCCATACTTCATAGTTCATACCATAATATGTTGTGGTATATAAACTATATATACATATATGTAAAAAGTGTATAAGGTAAGCTACTAAATACAATATTAACTATAAAGAGTTGTAAATTGTATTTGAAAACAATAAATAATTGTAACTGAAATCCTAGAATCTGGATTCTTCTACAAAAACAAGGATATACGTGGCCCATGCTTTACTCCTTTTGTAGTAACTACTTTTGATGGCTAGCTCCTATTTTGATACCTCTTTTTGGATACGGTGATGTTTGACTCGATATTACCTGTGCATTTGTCTACAAGATTTCATTCATGAGATTTCTTGTTAACCAATGGGGCATGAATTATACTTGATGTATAGTAGTGAAACTTTCAGTTCGGAATTATGGAAGTGCTTTCTACATATTGCCCACAAGAGGAGGCAAAAACAAGTCTTTTGCATGTTGAAGAACAAAATCATCTGAATTTTCTAGAACAAGACCAAACTGCAGATTTTGATGATATGAAAAGACAAGATGGAGTACAATGGACCATTGAGGATATGCCAACTTCTGAAACACATTTTTCTGGGGAAGCATGTAATGAAAATGAAGAGGGTGGTACAAAGTTGTCCGCTGATTCCCATGAGTCTCAGGATGAAAACATCGAAATCTCTCAACCGTTTGTTAATGAAACTGAAAGTGAGCAAGTTAATGAGAACCAGGAGGGAGAAACCTTTCCATGTGAAACCCCCTTGCTAGAAAGAGATGAAGCTCTAGCAGTATGGGTAAAGGTAAAATTACTTTTTGTTCATTATATTTGTGTATTTCTTTCACAACATTTAGGCTAGTTTGGTTGGGGTTTTTAGAAGGGAGGGGTAGGTTGGTTTATGTTTGACTAATCTATCACTATTTGTTCGTCTTGACTAGAAAAAAATTACAGAGTATAGTTAGAGTTAGTTAAATCTTATAGTTTTATATAATTTTTCATCAACACTATCTTTCCATGTTCCAACCATCTAAATGTAAGAATACATTTACAAATTAAATATCAAACCACACATTCCCATCCCTCCGAAATCCCGCAACCAAAAGGGGCTTAAGAATTGTGTGAAAACAGCCTGGAAGCTGTACTTTATTATTCAACTATACATTTTAATTTCTGCGTCTTAAAGATATCTGCGAGGAAATTTTAATTTTCATAAGTATTAATTGTGAATTCACACAAATGTGCACATTTCCTCTTTGCCCCTTAAGGGTCTGTATGGATGTATGATTTTTCAGAGTTTTGGAGGGGGGCAAAATCTGGAGGACGTAGTCTGTTTCTTGATAAATACTCCACCAGTCCCCTATTTTGTCTTCCCCGTTTGGCTCTGCGCGGAGTTCAACAAAATAAAATTATGTAGATGAGATTTATTTAGAAATTTAAGAATCTATATGACCACAAGTTTCTTTCCAAAGAAAATGAGAAGATTATACATTAACAACCAAAAAGAAATGAGGGAAGACAAAAAGAGGATAATGGGAAGATAATGTTTCTAGAAATGAATAAAGGGTGATTGGAATGTTTCATTATCAGCTATTATGTTATCCTTCTTTATAAAATCTTAACTACTCCCTCCGTATTTTAATGTTTGCTACACTTTCCTTTTTTAGATGTATTTAAAAATTTGCTACACTTTCCCTTTTTGGTAAGTTGTTCCTATAAAAATACTCGATTACCCTTACTTTTTCTACTTTTTATCTTCCCTTTCATACTTTTCACCATCTCTCCTACTTTTTCTACACTATTCATTACCCCTACTATTTCACTCTTAAACAATGTGCCAACACCTATTGTAGCAAACAAAAAAATACGGAGGGAGTATATTTCAAGATATTGACTTCACAATCCAAACCCCCCTCCCCATCCAAACTCCCCCTAACTACATTTGATGTACTAATTCTTGTGCATATCTTTTTATGAATAGTGGAGGGGTAAGTGGCAAGCAGGAATAAAATGTGCCAGAGCTGACTGGCCATTGTCAACTATGAGAGCAAAACCAACCCACGACAGGAAAAAGTATCTTGTGATTTTCTTTCCTCGTACTCGCAACTTCTCATGGGCTGATGTGCTTCTGGTTTGCCCAATTAATCACTTTCCACAGCCCATTGCATATAAGACACATAACATTGGGGTTGAGATGGTCAAAGATCTCACTCTTCCTCATCGTTTCGTCATGCAAAAGATCGCTGTTGGCATTCTGAATATCTTTGATCAATTACACAGAGAGGTTTTTGCTTTATCCCTATAAAAGCTGACGTTATTCTTAATTTCTTATTGATACCCATACATTCAATGCCTTTCTGTTTCTTCCCTTTTTTGGTTTAGGTGGTGATGTTTTCTCTACTAATACAGGTTCTTGTGGAAACCTCTCGCTATATAGTAGTCTGGAAGGAATTCACATTGGAGGCTTCCAAGTGTAAAGACTATCCTGATATTGGAAGGATGCTTTTGAAAATTCAAGAGGTAAAATCTCCTTATATATGAACATAGGGAAATATACATGAATTTTTCTTTCCAATTTCTCTAATGCATTCTCACTTATCTTAAAAAAGGATTTAGTTAACTTCCCTTTCTTCTCTTAAAAAATATTCCAAATTACAATAACAATGAAATAAACCTGACGCCAACAATTAAATGGCTGCATTTGGGTAAATTTATTAGCTTTTCTGATGTAGTAATATTTTTGCTTCCTTAAAAGTTCCATTTCCCTAAACACTAATTCCCTTCTTTTGCAGATCATACTTCCTCAATACAAAAGTCCGCTGTGGCGGGAAAACTTGCTTCAGTCTTGGGTTCAGCGATGTCAGAATGCAAACAGCGCAGAAGCTGCTGAAATGCTCAAGGAGGTATTTTCTCATTTCTTTACTCTGTAATAACTGAAATTGGAATAAATTTACCAATGTGATAGAATTTGGAGTTAGGTTGTCATCACTCAACTGGGTCATAAGGCACTTGGGCCAAGCCCCGCTAAAAGATCGAGTTCAATCTTTTTAACTTTTTCAACCCAAAGTCTTATCAACTCATCATTTTTCTTTAATTCCCGATGTGGCATCTTATTTGCTCAGACACTTTAAATAGATCCGATTGGTCACTTGCAAATTCGTCTTTTATAAAGACTTAAAGAATCTTGGGTTGGACTTCGGGTTAAACTGGCCACAGGCTGCTGGGGTTAGACTCCTCTACAGGTAACTGGGTTAAAGCTTCACCGTCCTTTTACACAGACAACCGGATAATGATAGAATTCGGGATAAGATTGCGGTCACTCAACTAGGCCATAAGCACTTGGGCCAAACCACACTGATCGAATCCAATCTTTTAGCTAGTTCAATGCAAAATCTTATTATCCAATCCTATTCATACATTCTTTAATTTTCCAATGTGGGGTCTTGACAACATGATTATTTCTTTTCTAGGAAATGGTTGATTCCATTCTTTGGAATGACATAAGTTCACTCCCAAGTGATCTTGCACAAGTTGAACTCAGCCTTGAATGGAAGAACTGCAAACAAGAGGCTATGAAATGGTTTTCAGTATCAAATCCTTTATCAACAACCTGCGGAGACCCCCAAAAACTGACAACAGATGGAAGCAGCCCACTGGAGGACGTGGGTCTTCAGCACTGCAAGAAAAGGGCCAAACTTGAAGTCAGGCGGCCCGATACACATCCCTTTCAGCCGGTGGGCCATGAAGTATCTCCAATCGTTACTGGTTCTGGTATCTTTGGTGGCTCTGATGTTCCTGTGGATAACGCCTTGCTAAATTCTGAGCATACTAAAGCTGAGAGTAATGGATGGGGTGATGTTATTGTTGAAGCAGCAAATTCTGAAGTGACACCTATCACTAAGAATCGCCAATGCATAGCCTTCATTGAGGCAAAGGGGAGGCAATGTGTGAGATGGGCAAATGATGGTGATGTCTATTGTTGTGTTCATTTGGTTTCCCGTTTTTCAAGCACCACCTCTTCAAAGACCGAGTCAACAACACCTCTTGAGGTGGGAGCGTGCGAAGGCACGACCGTTCTTGGAACTAATTGCAAGCATCGTTCCCTCCCGGGTTCCTCTTTTTGCAAGAAGCATCGGCCCAAGGTTGGTGATATTACAAAAGTGCCCTTTCTCTCCCCCGCGACCCAACCTAAGAAGAGAAAACATGAAGAAGTCCTCGACGTGGACCCCATCTCAGTCATAGGTGGAAACAACAGCTTGGTCCCAATGTCAGACTATCATCAGCATAAAGAGTATAGCAACGACGCAGATGAGCCACTGATGTGTGTAGGATTGTGGGCCCAAGATGGCGGCGGAGAGACTTGTTCGGAAACTGCGAAGCGGCATTCACTGTACTGTGAGAAGCACCTGCCAAGCTGGCTTAAGCGTGCAAGGGACGGTAAGAGTAGGATAATCTCAAAGGAAGTATTTGTTCAGCTTCTCAGGAGTTGTGGCCAGTCGAGAGAACAAAAGCTGCATTTGCATCAAGCGTGTGAGCTGTTCTACCGGCTATTCAAAACCCTTCTTTCCAGGAGAAATTCTGTCCCGAAAGAAGCCCAGTTTCAGTGGGCCATTGCAGAAGCTTCTAAAGACGTGTGGATCAGGGAGTTCATACTGAAATTGGTTTTTGGCGAGAAAGAGAGGCTCAAAAGGCATTGGGGATTCAGCTTTAATGAATCAGGAGCAGCTACCAATCATGGGGATGATGATGATGAGAATGTTATTAGCTGCAAAATTTGCTCCGACACATTTATGGATGACCAAGAACTTGGGAGGCATTGGATTGATAAGCATAACAAGGAGGCTGAATGGATGTTCAGGGGTTACGTTTGTGCAATATGCCTTGATTCTTTCACTGACAAGAAGGTTCTCGAATCTCATGTGCAGGAGAGGCACCACGTGGAGTTTGTGGAACAGTGTGTGCTTTTTCAATGCATATCCTGTAGCAGCCATTTTGGTAACCAAGATCAGCTATGGTCTCATGTTCTTTCTGTTCATCCATCCAACTTCCGGCTATCAAATCCTCCTCCTCCTCATCTTCAACCTCAACCTGGTAGTCTTTCTGGTAGTGAAGATTTCTTGCCTAATGTAGAAAGCATAAACTCTGAGGATAAAAAATTCATATGCAAGTTTTGTGGGATGAAGTTTGATTTGCTTCCCGATCTTGGCCGGCATCATCAAGCCGCTCATATGGGTCCTAGTCTTGTCAGTTCTCGTCTCTCAAAGAGAGGCATCCGTTTTTATGCTTATAAACTGAAATCAGGGCGGCTCACCCGCCCGAAATTCAAGAAAAGTCTGGCTTCCGTAGCTTCATACCGGATCAGGAGCAGAAGTGCACAGAACATCAAAAAACGTATCCAGTCAGCAATTTCAGTTGGTGCTGGGGCCTGTTTTAGCAGACCCCCCGAGGCCTCTTCCAGTGTTGACAGCTTGGATCATGAACAATGCTTAACTATTGCAAAGATGTTGTTTACTCAGATGAAGAAGACGAAGCCACGCCCTAATAACTCAGATATTTTATCGCTAGCTCGGTCAGTTTGCTGCAAAGTAAGACTTAAAGATTCATTGGAGGCAAGCTATGGAGTCTTGATGCCAGAACGCATATACTTGAAGGCAGCCAAACTCTGCAGTGAGCAAAATGTCTTAGTAAGTTGGCATTTGGATGGATTTATTTGCCCAAACGGATGTGAGCTGTTGAATGATCATCCACATTGTATTCCACCTTTGGTTCCTCTACTCAGTAGGCCTAGATTTGCAACACACAATGCTGCTAATGTAAGTGAGTGGAGATCGGACGAGTCTCACTTTGTTATTGATTGCCAACAGATAAGGCACGAGCCATCTGATAGGACAATAATCTTGTGTGATGACATTAGTTTTGGGCGGGAATCGGTTCCCATAACATGTGTGGTTGAAGACATCTTTCTCGGGTCCCTCCACATCCCTCCGGATGATTCTGATGGCCAGATAGCACTACCTTGGGAGAGCTTTAGTTACGTGACTATGCCAATTATAGATCAATCAATGCAACTTGATATCTATGTAAGCTTGTCATCTTTTACTTTATAACATTTTTGCCCGTGTTCTCTCCCTCACTTTTTTCCTTTCTAAGCAGAGTTCACAGTTAGGGTGCTCTTGTCCTAATTTGACATGCTCTTCTCAAACCTGTGATCATGTGTACCTTTTTGAGAATGACTATGAAGATGCAAGAGACATTCATGGCCAGCCAATGTGTGGTAGGTTCCCATACGATGACAGAGGGAGAATCATTTTAGAGGTAAATGTTATGTTTATCGTCTAATAGTATGCGGCTAATGTTTTTTTATATTTACCATCAAGAATAGAAAATTAATGTTATTCAGTTTTTTTTAGTATTTTCTATAGGAATTTTCCCGAAATAGGAGTATAAATGTTTAGGAATTCCAAAATAAGACTGTTATGTTTTTCTACCCGAAATAGGAGTAACATGACAGTAGTTACTACTATCTTGCAGTCATTACTGTCAAAATAGTTGCAGTGCTAGACATTAACATGACAATATTTTTTAATCATGGCAGTAACGACTCCTATTTCGGGAATAAAAACAAAGCAATCCTTTTTCGGAATTCTGGAACATTGCTACTCCTATTTAGAGCAATTTCCTCATTTTATATTTGTGAGTGCTGATCCTCGGTCATTCTTCTTTATATATAAAATATTGATAAGCTGGATTCCTGATCTATCTTTTAATATTGAGTTGCTTGTTACTCCGTATGATACATAGTTCTGCAATACTTACCTCAGGGTATGCTTGAATCACAAAATATTCTAGAGAAACTGAGAAAGGAATAATAATGCTAAGAAATTTTCTTTTCTTATTGATTAGCTTTGGCTTTGGAGAGAGCAAAATGGAGGGCGGGTATTCGTGTGGAGGAGTGATCTTGTATCATCTTTTCCCCTCTTTTTTTTCTTCTTTTTTCTTTTTCTTTTATATTTTTATCCTTATATATAAATATTACTTTATCCTTTTTATTTTATCTTTTATATGTATATTCATCTCTTTTATATTATCCTTTTTTATAATAGCTTATCTTTTTTATCTTTATTTTCTTTCTTTTCCTTTTGGTGATATCATGTATCGATTCATGTTAGCCGACCCCAATATCGTTTGGGACTAAGGCTTGGATGTTGTTGTATTGATTAGCTTTAGTTTTGAAAATGCAAATGAGATAAAAAAAAATGATTATTCTAAGTTGTGCCATGCATATATTTATATTCGTTAGCCGTTTTATAATAATTTTTCATCATTTGCAATGGAGCAAAAGACTCACTATTTTTTGGCTTGGGAATATGATGGAATAAAGCAAAATGGCTCACTAAACTATAGGAATTTCACTATGAGTCATCCGGAAATAGTCTCTCTGTGCTATAGTAGGGTAAGACTACGTACATCTGACCCCCTTACCCCACTGTAGGTAAGAGCCTTTGCGGCACTGGGGTAATGATGATGATGAGCTTTTTTTAATAAAATGAAAAAATATGGCATAAATAAAAATATTAAAAAAATTATCTAAATTTAATGTATTAAGTCCGGGTCCATTTTTATTGCTGCACTGGGGTAATGATGATGATGAATGATGATGATGATGAGCCTTTTAATTCTCTCTTTACCTCAATATTTTCTTTCTCAAGTATTTTCCAGGCTCCATATTTACACTTGGTGCATCAAAATAATTTGGAAATTTTCTTAAGATGACCTTGAGGTCTGTGTTATATCTCAAATTGAACTCATGGATTTCACTGGGTGACCTATGGAAATTTCATAGAATATGTTGGCATATGTTAAGTTATTCTAAGAAACATGCATAGTGGAGGGTTATTTTAACAAATGTTAAAAAATAAAAATCTTAGGCTAACCTCGGGAAAATTTCCAGTCAGTTATGTTCTTGGCTTTCCTCGATGGCGTTATTAGTTTCATTTTGTTACGTTACCTGTGAATTCATCACACACAACCTAACTTCCAATATGATGGTTTCCAGGAGGGATATGTAGTCTATGAGTGCAACCAGCGGTGTAGCTGTGGTAAATCTTGTCAAAACAGAGTGTTGCAGAATGGCGTCCAAGTGAAGCTTGAGATATTCAAAACTGAGACAAAGGTAACATTTTCCCTTTTCGTTTGAAATTCTCAATGTAACCCCAATCTTTTACGTTTTGTTTATTTTCCCGTTTCTATCACATATTGTGAATAGGGGTGGGCTGTCAGGGCCAGAGAAGCAATCATTCGTGGTACTTTTGTGTGCGAGTTCATCGGTGAGGTAATTGATGAAGAGGAGGCTAATAGGAGGCGCTGTAGGTCTGTATGCTGCTTTTCAATCTGCTGTTTTCCATTCCCTTTCTTTTGAAAGATAGTTTGCTAATTCTATTAGCCACTTAATTTTTTATGCTTACTTTTATGTGACATAATTAGGTATGGGAAAGAAGGTTGTGCATATTTTTTGGATATTGATGCACAAATAAATGATATGAGCAGACTGGTTGAGGGGCAATCTTCGTATGTGATTGATGCCACAAATTATGGTAACATTTCTCGTTATATTAATCATAGGTGAGAAGGCTTTCCCCTCCTACAATTGGCTACTCAATTTGGCTCCTGTCTGGTTTATCTGAATTCCTGAATATATATCTTGACTTATTTGTTTAGCTGAAATGCATCTTACCAAACCCATTTCCTATCATAAAGTTTTAGTGGATTCAACCATTCCAACCAAATAACCCTTGTCAAAGTCTATTTATGATGGAACTTTTATATTTAGTCAGGTAAAACTCATAGAAATCATAAATCATAGTCATATATTAATAGATTTATTGGTTTATCTTGTTATTGAGACTTCTTTTTAATTCATTAAATTGAATGGAATTAATTTTTGTTTGATTTTTTTTTAGATTAGTTTTCTTTTATGGAGTTAAAAAAACAATGACCAATAGAATTCAATCAGCTTTACCAAAAAAATGGAATTCAATCAGCGGTTTTGTTATTGATATTTTTACAACATTTACTAATTTCTGGTGTTAATTTTTGTTTAGTTTTATGTGTTTTTTTTCTCATTATATAATTACTAATAATTAATATTATTATAATGTTTGGTGCTTATAGCTGCTCACCAAATATGGCAAATCACCAAGTGGTTGTGGAGAGCATGGATTATCAACTTGCGCATATTGGTCTTTATGCCAATAGAGATGTCAGTATAAACTCTATTAATACACTGATGACATTATACTCATTCATTAACGATCCTCTGATCCGCACCACTTTATAATCAGATACTTGCAGGCGAAGAACTGACGATTGATTATCACTACAAACCGTTGCCTGCAGAAGAAGGGATTCCATGCCTTTGTGGATCTTCCCATTGCAGAGGTCGACTTTACTAAGCCCCTGCTTTGTCACAATTAGTAAGCAGTTTAACTTAGTAGTTGTACATATACCTATCAACCAGAAGAAATGAAGTGCTTTTTCGACTAGGTTAGATTTCTGAAGCATCTCAATTCTGAAATATTGGACCCCGTTTTTCTGTATAACATTAGAGCTTCTTTATTAATGGATGAGTTGTAGTGAAATTTTACCCAGCCGAAGTGTAAATTTTCCGATTTTAATCAGTGTCGTCAAGTTTCAAACCCCATTGACCAAGTTAACAATGGTTGCAGTTACATCAGGCCCAAACATTTATAACAATCTTCGGAGGCATCATAAAATTGAATCATTTATCTGATACCTTTTTTGCACTTTATCTAATAATGGTGTATACACACACAACCAGATTTTCTGTATGACATTTGTATCTATGGATCTCACATTCTCACATTTTGGTCACTTCACCGTCCAAGATTAATTGCATTTAGTGGTGGACTGAACCGGGCCGGTTCGGGCCTCGGGCCTAGGCCCGGCCGGGCCTCGGTTCAGTAATAGCAGGCCCGAGCCCGAACCGGGGGTAGGGCGGTCCCGGGTCCGGTTCCGGGCCGGGCCGAACCGGACCCGGAAAACCGGGCCGGGCCGGGCCCGCACAGTGGCGGGTCGGGCCAGTCCCGGGCCGGGCGGCCCGAACCGAGGCCATGCCTAATTGCATTTAGGAAATAATTTGATTTTTTTAACCGGAACTAACAACTTCATCATTCGCCACCTGGCTTACAATAAGAGCTCACATAAGAACTCTTTGTTTGAATCAAAGGAATATCATCAAGAATCAAATCCAGATATGCAATGCCTTCTCCTTTTTGGACCCCACGAGGCCACAAACAATTACCTGTGCAGCAAACTCGAACTCCACATTTTCCCATCCCTCCTGACCCTCCATAGCTGCTAAAACTGCCTCACGTAACCAACCTGCTTCCGTTTCTGCTGGAGACCATTCCGCTTTGCATGAGGCACCACCTGCTTTCACAAACTCTCCTTGGTTGTTTCTTGCCGCCCAATCCCAGACTCTTACTCCCCCAGGATTATCAACCCCAGCATCAAAGGAAATAATTTGATTAAATCAGGATTATAAATATTTATAGCTTAAGAAGTCAAAGGTTGCATTTCTTAACTTCGATTGTCTGTTTAGGATGACCTAGAAAACATTCTTTTAAATAAGTACTCTCTCTGTCCTATAGAAAGTTTCTCACTTTCTTTTTTTGAGCGTCTCCATATTAAGGATCTCATTTTCATTTTTGAGAAACAATTAACAATCTTAAATAAAAAATTAATCATTAAATATTAAAGATAATACATTTATAACACCATAGTTATCAACACTAACCCCATTATATTATATACCTATTAAAATTATTTCTCAAAATATATTGAACTACTTTTTTTAAGGGAAAGTTCCCGAAATAGGACTAAAACAGTTTGAAAATTCCAAAATAGGACTGTCATGTTTGTTATTCCCAAAATAGGAGTAATTACTGCCAAGTTTGAAAAATACTGCCATTTTTGAAGTCTGATACTGCCAAAACATGGCAGTAATTAGTCCTATTTTGGAAATAAAAACATGTCAGTCCTATTTTGGAATTTCCAAACCTTTTTAGTCCTATTTTGGGTAAATTCTCTTTTTTTAATTATTGTCTAAATAATCGTGCCGTTTTGTCATGAGAATCTTTCAACGGAACAAAGGTAGTAGATGTTATTTGTAATTACTAATTAGGGATGGACACCGGTTGATTTCCGCTCGGTTTAGTTCGAGGCAGGGATCATGCCTTTTTCAGATTTTAGCCCATTTCTCAAAATAAGCTAGGGATGGACTCGGGCCGGGCCAACCGGCCCAGAACCGGACCAGCCCGGTGAACCGGTTTGTGCCCGGTTCTGGCCACCTGGCCCGGTGGTATAGCGGTCCGGGCCCGGGCCTCCAGTTTAGTGAACCGGCCGGGCCGGGCCGGAATTTATTTATTTTTTTTGAATTTTTTTTAAGATTTGGGTTGTATTAGGTATTTTAGGCCATTTGAGGTGGTTTGGGGTGGAGGGGGAGGGGTAGGGGGTTAAATAAGAGAAGAAGAAGAAAAAATTAAAAATCCGGGTGGCCCGGTCTGGCCCGGAACTGCCCACCACCGGCTCGGGCTCGGGCCTCATTTTTCTGAACCGAGGCCCGGCCGGGCCCAGGCCCGAACCGGGCCCGAACCAGAACCGGTCCACCCCTAAAATAAGCTAGGGAAAATTCTAAATACAACCCAATTTTTACGAAGCATAGCCTTTTTTTTTTTAAATTGTTTTAAACAAAGTGAATAAGTTTACAAACTTACCCTTCTTTTCTAGTAGTAAAGCAAGATTGACCCAAAGGTGTCTATGCTCCTTAGAGAGCCTCAATCTCACCAAGGAGGTGGATGTCACGGGGTGGACCTCATGAAGGAGGGGATATCAGAGGTCATAGGGATGGTCACCACAAAAGATCGTGGGAGAGGTTATGGAGTTGGATGTGATCGAAGCTATGGTAGTGGGGGCGGCGGCAAGGCGGCAAGGTTACTGAAGGAGCTAAGCTACTTTGATCAGATAAGAAAATGGTCTTAGGAGAGAAATGGGTATGCATATGGACCGTTAGATTTGTTTTATGTGAAATTCAATGTGCATTAGATGAAACTCTAATGTGCGATGGGTGAAATTGAAATGTGCATCACAAAGGATATGGTACGGTGGCATTATGTGAATCTAAATTGTGCATTACGAGAAATTAAAATACGCATTAAGCAAAATTAAAATGTGCAGAATAAAAAGTAGGGAAAATAACTTTAAATAATACAAACTATCTTCCATGAACCAAGAATAATACGTACTTTGAAAATAAGTTTTAATAATACCAACTATTTGAATATAGACCACAAATGATATAGGGCATCTTTTTACTAAAAATTCAACCATCTAACTCATCAAAAACTTATATAAAAATATCTAATTAGTGAATATATTTCCAAATATCATTTATTTGATGGATTGTCATTAGCTTTTGATGTCTTAAATGATCGGATTTTTTGTCAAAAAATAACTCCATATTATTTTTGTTTTACATTCATAGAGTTGGTATTATTAAAAGTCATTTCCGAAGTTTGTATTATAATTGGTTCAAGGATGATAGTTGGTATTATTTAAAATAATTTTTCCTAAAAAGTATGATATGATGCCATTTTTGTACTTTGATGAAAAATACTAATCCACCCGAATACACAATCGAAATACCACTAAATCTGGATCCATAATAACTGCCATAACAAAAAACCAAGGCAAAAAGGATACATTTAACATGTGAACTTATTATTAGTTCAAACGCACCAATATACAAATCCAGGGCCGCTTTCTGTTCTGTTCTAGACCAATCAGGAAGGACGTGCTTGCCATTCAGCGGTTAGTGGTTAGCGGATTATTTTAACTAATCGTCAATAGCGGAATCAATCAGCGGGTATGATTAGCGGAATAAATTTGACAGGTTATTAAAAATGTTTGGTAATTTAGGTGTTTGGCCATAAAATTAGCGGCGTTTTCATTTCAACAATCCTACTATATACAAACCGACGTGAGAAAAATGGCAAAATTCCCGCCTAAACATCCAGCCTAAAGTGTCTGACAAGGTCAAGGTCGGTCAAGGTAATCAAGCTAGGACAGTACAGCGCATTGGAATTTTAAAAACTTTATGGTCATTTCACATCGGCCGTCTAAACTCCTCTCTTATGGATCTTGAGAGCGGCAGATGAGATTATGGAGTGACAAAAGGAGGGCCAGAAGCTATGGAGCAGGGCAGCAGGCGAGTCGCCGGAGTGGGAGTCTTGGACTGCGGGTGCCGCCGCCGATGCGATCAACAATTCTGTTGGGCCGTCAGGGAGAGAAGCCGGGGCTGACAGGTTTATGCAGGCGGCGGAAGGCACAATGCGACACAGTTGGGGCGGAGCCAGGGCACTGGCCGGACAGGGCCGGTACAAAGAATATTTTTAGAAAAAAATTACGCGGAATTTTTTACCTTAAAAAATTAAGCCATTTTTAAAATTTGGGGGCGCCATGGCCTAGGTTGGCCCACCCCTAGCTCCGCCCATGGTTGGCGGTGGACAGAAGGAAGGGGCGGCAGACCAAGCGAATGGCGGACTGATGGCGTCTCTACGGCTTGCGAACTACACAGAAGAAGACGAATAACGTTTCTCTTTGTTTGGGGCTTCTGGAATCCGCTGAATGTAAAATTTTGCAGGTCAAAGGTTTTACATTTGACTATACCTCTTTTACACTGAAGAAACGGAATTTTTTTTATGTAAAGCTTTTCTGTGCGCAACAATAAGCATTGGGTCTGCAGCAGCAAGAGTATTATATTTCAACATCGTGGTGTAATATATCATAAAAGCTGTGATTTTTATTTATGTTCTGAAAATAAAGTTTGAGGTTGTTCTTTTCTTTCCTTTTATTTTATTTTATGTTTGTTTGATGAATGTTATATTTCTATCATGAAGATGCACCGGGATGAAAAGGTGAGTAAACATTTGTACTTGATAGTTATTACTGATGTTAAACTTATACTGAGCTAGATATACTTGAATCCTTTGTAAGGAATTCTCTTATATATTATGATGCTAAGGACTTTTATTTTCTGAAAGTATCATATTCTTTAAATCATGTACATAACACCTAAGACCTAACAATTTTTGTGTAGCAATTGATGTTAGAAAAGCCCATTTAGATAGAAAGATGTAGCCATAAAGTTGCTGAGATTAGAGAATATGCAGGAACATGTCTGTCAGAAGAATACAGGGTTGATGAGCCATCAAATTTGACTCCAACAAAGAGTTTGTTCAAACTTCCAAGCGTGGATTCCATAGAATAACCGAGGACTCTAGGTTTTGAGGAGTAAATAAGGTCATTTTGGGACACGAAGTCATCAAAGCATAGTAGCAGCCAAATGGAGATGTAAAACACGTTGTGGAGAGCCCTCAAAGCTCGAGAGATTTAAGAGTTCCCCTTGCTGCTATCAATTGAATTGAATGTTAGGTTCATTGTGTACAGTAGCAGCAGTAGCATCGATTCTTTTGTAATCTGATGTTTCTCCTTGCATGTTTTTTTTAAGTTTTTGGTGGTGGGCTATTGTTATGCTCTTCTAAATCATTGAATCGCTTGAGTGCACCACGGCTCTTAAGTTCCTTTTGATTATTTTATAAATATGTGAAACGAATAGTTTATTTTTCAATTACATTATTAATAATTATGCCAAATCATAGGACATATAAAATGAGACGGATATTATACTAATTAATTACATTTTGAAACGCTTTGAAATTTCAAAATAATTTCTTTATGTTTTTATTGTCCTGAATAGGAGTAAAACTGTTTTGAAATTTCAAATTTGGAAAAAACTGTCATGTTTAAAATTAATAATGCCAAACTAGACATAAATTACTCATATTTAGGGAATAAAAACATGACAATCATATTTTGTAATTTCAAAACTTTTTTACTCCTATTTAAAGAATAAAAACATGACAGTTCTATTCTGGAATTTCAAAACTTTTACTCCTATGTAGGCAACATTTCCTTTTTTTTACCCAGGAGGGCATCAGGGGAAGGGGGTTGGGGGGCTGGGTAAACTGAGATCAATTTCACTCCATTGAGACATTGGGAATTGAACCTGGGACCTCCCGTAAGGGAGAGTGAGTCGGCGACCAAGTGGCTGGACCGCTTCCTCTATCTTATATATTATCCGTACTATCAAATATTGGTGGTAGAGATATTGGTGGTAAATGTTTTACATGCAAAAAACTTTCAAAATTAATAGATCGTTTTATTGTTTTATCTTTGATATGTATATTCACATACATATTTATTTCCCCATTTTAGTACATTTTCCATGACTTTAATATTTAAATACTTATATTTTCTAAAATAACAATATTTTAGAATAATAGCCTGTGCATCACACAGGTACAATACTAGTTTTGGACAACGCTAGTGCCAAACAGCTATTTATCAAACAACTTTTTCACCTATTGAAAACATTGAAAGCGGTCAAACCATCAAACCACCATTTTTCTGCTGAACACAGTTTACCAAACATTTTTCCACGAGTAAAGGGTCAGTTTGGTCCTCGAAGTTGCAAAAAAGGGGTCAAATAAGTCCTTATATAGAAGATTCTGTCCGGACGTGCCATTTGAGGTGGCTCCCGATAGAATTTTTTGATGAAATTTTTTGAGCGTCTTATTCATTAAGTCTAGTTTACTCATACCAAATTTCAGCTAACAATTCAATCGGGGAAACATTCAAATGAATTCTTGAAGATAACTGCGCTTTTAACGGCACAGTTATCTTCAAGAATTCATTTGAATGTCTTCCCGATTGAATTTTTATTTGAAATTTGATATGAGTAAACTAGACTTAATGAATAAGATGCTCAAAACAATTTATCAAAAAATTCCACCGGAAGCCACCTCAAATGGCACGTCCGGACAGAATTTTCTATATAAGAATTTTCTATATAAGGACTGACCCTTATCTCATTTTTCCACCAACTGCACGTTACACCAAACGAATCACCTCACATTTTAGGAAAAGTAGATCCATTCCACATTTGTACCACTGTACCAGTTCCAATCCCCTCTAGTCCAATCCCAGACCTCTTCAGAACAGTTCAAATCCCTTGTTCAAATCCCTATGTCCACCTCCTCTCTATTGTGATTAGATAAAACATACTACACACAAAACCTTATTCAAACGCTTTGAAGTAAACTACGTATTTATCCTTTTGAACTCCACTTTATAAACTTGCGTTTTTGTACAGATTAAGAACGGTTGCCAGATAATTTCCTAGGAAGGAGCACTCGTAATCTTGTTTCAGGTGGTTGACTAACTTGAACTCAGAAGTAGGGGTGGACTGAACCGGGCCGGTTCGGGCCTCGGGCCTGGGCCCGGCCGGGCCTCGGTTCAGTATATATAGGCCCGAGCCCGAACCGGGGTTGGCCGGTTCCGGGCCGGTTCCGGGCCAGACCGGGCCGGTTCCGGGCCGGGCCACCCGCCCTATTAATTTTTTTTTTTTTTTGGCTTCTTTATTTAATCCCCTACCCCTCTTTCTCAACCCCAAACCACCCCAAACCATCTCAAATGGACCAAAATACCTAATCTAACCCAAAACATAAAAAAATTTCAAAAAAAAAAAAAAAAATTAATTCCGGCCCGGACCGGGCCCGAACCGGCCGGGCCGGTTCACCATATGGAAGGCCAGGGCCCGGAACCGGGAACCACCGGGCCGGTTCGACCCGAACCGCCGGTGGACCGGGCCACCGGGCCGGGCCGGTTGCTACAGTGGCCGGGCCGGGCCGGTTCCGGGTCGGGCCGCCCGGCCCGAGTCCAGGCCTACTCAGAAGCAAGACAGGAAACTGACATCTTAAGAAAATTAAAAACAAAGCAACTATGCGTGGATTTTACCTTCCATGAAAAATTGAAATAATTCATTGATGAAGTGAACCAAAAGGCTGGTTGGTTGGTATCAAAAAGCAAGAGGTAAACAATCATGTATAGGTACAAAATATGAGCAAAATTAGAATCATCTCAACGATTTGTCCGGTGGGTGTTCTACTAAAAGAAGATTGATTGGATGGGAAACAAAGCATATGAAATCAAAACATAACAATTGTGACTCGACTATCTAGTAAAATTGCAGCAGCTCCATAAATCATCGGTGATTTTTGAAAGCCTTACAAAGGCACATTCACAAAAGCCTGCATGGTACCATGGATAGAAAAAACCAGTCAGTAAGTCATCAAAACTCCATGGTGATTGAAGCCTTATGCAAATTTTACACATTTTAAATACAGAGAATATGATGGATAGATAATAAACTATATGATGCCAAATTGTTTTAGAGGGCGTCCCGATTCTGGAGGATTTTAATAGAGGTAGGTATTCCATCCGGGCCGTTTGATAGCTTACACATTAAAACTTTACATGTAAAATGATTGCATGTAAAGCGTAGGGCTGTAATTAGTTTGCATGTAAACTAAAAATACACCGTTTGACTATCGATATAATCTATTACATGCAAACTCTTAGAAAACTGGTACGCTGTTCACCACCAGTGCGTGTGAAACTGTTAGAAGAGAGAGTGGGTTGAACCGTTGAAGGACTAATCACTGAAAGATTGTTAAAACATTATTTCAATTTCGGCTCTCATCGTCAAAATTACCCATCTATAAGGAACCAAAACACAGGTATATATACATATAAAGATTGTGCTTGTTCTTCATTGAAAAGTAACTACAATTCCTAAGTCCAGTTACATGTTAGCACGTAGTATACCTTCTAATCAATACTGTATCTAATAGAGGTCGGTAAATAATAGATAGGGTTTCTAGAATCTGTCAATGACTGAAGTTATCTTTAAAAAATTGTTAAAACTAATTTTTACATGTATATATACGAGGTATAGAAGCTAATCCTGGAACATGCAGCCATGGTTTGATGATGATGGTGGTTTGATGATGATGGTGGTTTGATGATGATGATGATAGTTTGATGATGGAGAATTTGCCAATGATGGTAGATTAAATATAAATCGATATATTCATTTTCTAAGTTAACAGATGAAAAATACTTTACAACCCTCCCCCCACGTAAAACATTTTACATGGTAAAGTGTAAAGTGTTTAAAAAAAGTGCCCTACAGTTTACATTAAATATCTAAAACAAACAGCATAAAATATTTACTTTGCATCATACCAAAAGGGCCCTCAGAATTTAGGTTTCCCCGATTTGGATTTTTGTGGAATCAATGAAAATCAGGGATCCTGAAACATTCTGTGGATTTCTATTATGGAGTATTTCTTATTTACATAGATTTTAATGGATTTTGGTAGATTTCTACATACAAAAACATTCCACCACAATCTTATAGAGTCCCCTCAGATTTCAAAATTTACGATCATTTAAAATCCATCAAAGTAAAAGTTGGGGACAACCGCTTAAATATGTTTTCCTGTTTGAGCTAAAAATCAAATTTTCATGTAACACTCCACAAAACTAAACATACTACAGATGTAGTTAAACCCTACACTGGATGCAAAAACTATAAGTAGGATATAGTGGAATATACAGAGTAAAAGTTCAAATGGGTAAAAGTTCAAATCGGTTGCATCTTGATCAATCAAAAATTGATTTAAAGGAGAGGTAATATAGTAAATCTTCTTGAATATTTTATCACTGGTTCTAACCCATAACATTTTTCATTGCATTTTACACCATTAATTAGGCTATGAAATTGTGTGGTTGAAACATGGGAAGAACTTTAGGGGATGCCCCAGAGAGGAAAGTGACGGCATATTGGGAGAAAGGGAAGAATTTTTTATTATGCTGCCTTTGTGTTGATATATAAAATGATAGAAATGGTACTGCGTATTGTGCAAATAAGGTGGTGGCATTTGAAGCAGACCCAATAAAAACCAACATAAAATGTAGGATGGCAGATAACAGTTCTAGAAGAACAAAATTGAGCTTGTGAAAACATAAGTAATACAGAGTGTAAAGTAATCCGATTATGCAAACAGTATGGTGTGCTGAATCTGAAAGAACCTCTTTCACAACATTAATTCGATGGGTAGTTATATAAAAAATAACATAACCCTTTACACTGCTAAAACACTTGTAAATACAAGAGAATAATACCTTAGATGTTGCTTGGGTACATGAAAACTCTAACACTGTTTCCCTGCAAATTAAAGAAAAAAATGCATAATAACTATAAAATCATAGCAATGAACACAGAAAGAAGTTGTTTTCCACAAACCAATTGCTTAAAATGAAACGTACCATGGCCCTGGGTGGGAGGTTAGACTTGAACTTAGCTCTGACTACACCACTGTTTCCATGAGGCCTAGATACCTTTCCCCAAATACAGCGGTAGTGAGATCCGTTTTTCTTTGTCTTAGCCTTGTAGACGTATGCCATGCGCTTCCCCTGGTACCATCCAACTTCCTCCTTTGTGTTCACACCTTCGATCTGAACCAGCGAGGTGGTCGGATACTGATTCGACTTCGACCTGATCACATTCAAACAATTCAAACGCATTTTATCTCAGGTCAATCAATCAGTAAGAGAAATCAAAATATTAATAAATTACTAAGCATCGTCACCTCTTGTAACCGAGAACTGTTCCTCTAACATAGAGTCTGCAAACAGAACACAAACAAACAAACTATTCAATGACAAAGCTGAAATAAGACGCTGAAAATTGTACTATGATGAAGAGGTTGGGGACCTGATGCGTTCTCCTTGACGTCCTTTAACCATTTTCTCAGTTCGACGGTGGAGCAGCGACGGAGTGAGACCCAAACGCCTAAGCTAAACCCTAGCTCGAGACTTTTATGGTCGACATGTTTTGATTTTTATAGTCCACCGGGGTCATGTATTTAGGCCTATAAAGAAATGTTACGGGCTAAAAGATTTTGGGCTGGACAATGGAACTATGAAAGGATCAAAGGATTATAGAAATAGGGGTGGGTCAGAAAAACCGAAAACCAAAAACCGAATCGAAAAAACCCGAACTGCAACCAAAACAATCGAACCGCAAGAAAATCGAAACTAATATGTTGATATTTTAAATCATAATTTACATTTTGCTTGTTGCATAACAATGATATATTTTTATATATTATATGTTATGTATGGTTGTTATCACATAATTATTTATATTGAACAAATATGTACTGCGTATTAATATAATCTATATCAACTCTATTTTAAACAACATAGCAGAAAACGTGAAACTTTAGAGCATAAATATGTTTGTCTAAAAAGAAAGTAGAATAAGTTATTTAATAATAAAAATTTAAATTGCAAATACACTGTATATAATTCACAAATAAACTCATGCGTTTATGTAATTTAAAAATATTTAAATTGGTATACACGTACTCTCAAATCATTACTTGGAAGTGCATTTGTTTGTTCTCTCTTTTTTTATTAGGTATGTTATTGTATTGTATTGTATTACTATTAATTAATAATAGTTTAATGTAGTTTATTTTTGTTTTTCAATTACTATTTCTCTAAACAACTAAAATATTTTGGTAAAAACAAAAAAAAAAACTGAAATTGAACCGAATTAAACCGAACCGAACAAACTGTGGTTCCATATTTTTGAACATAAAACCAAACTGAACCGAACTTTTTACTTTGATTCGGAATTTGGTTTTAGGTGAAAACCGAACCGTTTGAACCGAACTCACCCCATATAGAATAAGAATGGCACGAGGTATAGTTTTTTTTCTCTAAATTATTGTTGTATTTAAAAAAGTGTGTAATAGTGATGTCATTGAACTCAATGTACTTAGAAATTCAAAAAATCACATAAATATAAGTATAGTATGTACATATATTATGGGGAAAAGGGGCAAATCCCCCCCCCCAAAGTTTTACCTAAAGGGTATCCAAGCCCCTAATCAAACTTTTGGAGCAAAAAACTCCCGTTTCCTTTAAAAGAGGGCATATCCCCCATCACTTGCGGTTAACACACGGAGACACGGAGTACTTAACACTTAACAGCCTAAGTTGAGTTTTCTCTACCTAAATCACATTCAAATCTAGTTTTTTGTGAGCAAATATATTAAATAAACATGTGACAAATTAATTAACTAAATGTCGAATTATAGAGTTAAGATGTTTTAATTGGATTGAATTTTTTTGATCTAATGTAATTTGGTCTAATCAATTTTTGTCTGATCTGGTCTGGTCTGTTTTAAAAGATTTTACTTAGACTTATTTCAGTCTTAGAAAAAAGCACATCTGAACAAATCTAAATAGACATAAAATAAACTAGAACTCGAAAAAATATAAAATACTCATAAACCAGAAATCTACCGAACAAGACAAAATCAAACCTATTCAGACCAAGCCAAATTAGATTAGACCAGACCATAAAATTTCAATCGAAAAAAACCTTCATCTTGTCTGCTATGAAATGTCATTAATATTATTTGTACTCCATGCATTATAATCTGCATATAATTTATTTGTATTCATTTATTATTAAATTAATAAAATTCCCCCCAAATTATTGTATAGTATATATCCTCGACTCATCATACATTTTTAATGCGTATAAAGATTAAAAGTATGCAAAAACTATTTTAAGATTTTATCTTCTTTATCATGCCATAACATGTTTCCCCTTTTACTTATAGAAGTTATACGGTAAAAGTCGAGAAAAGATGTTGTACAATATTTTGAACGAATTTTATTATTCTTAATAATAAATAATTAAAATAATTATAAATAGATTATGAAGATAATATGAAGATATACATATTTGGAAGCTACATTAAAAGTTTTATAAAGTTAATAAAAAAAATTAATTTTAATAAAAGTTGAATATATAAAGTAAAAGATTATAAATTAGTTTACATTGACCAGAAAATATTGCACATGAACTTCTAAGTGAGATAGCTGTATAAGTAATACTAAGTATAAAATAAAATTCTAGACCAGACCAGATCCAGACTAAAATAGATCAAATCAACTAGATCAGATAAAAAAAGTTCAGTCCAATTAAAAATTCCCTAACTCTATAATTTGACATATCGGCTAGTTAGTTTGGCACATGTTTATTTAAGACATTTGCTCACAAAGAAGAATATGGGCTTGGATGTGCTTTGTGACAATTTTGGGGTGCCCCTTACCTCTAATCGGATTTGGTCTGGTTTGAATTGGTCTGACTTTTTCTTGTCCGGTAGATTTCTGGTTTCTGAGTATTTTATAATTTTTCGAGGTCTAGTCTATTTTATGTCTATTCAAATTTGTTCAGGTGTGATTTTGTCTAAGACTGAAATAAGTCTAAGTAAAAACGTTTATAACAGATCAGATCGGATCAGATCAAATCAGACAAAAATTGATTAGATCAAAAAATAGATATTTGGTCACACACACAAAAAAAAGATTTGGATGTGATTTAGGTAGAGGAAATTCAACCCAGGCTATTAAGTGTTAACTACTCCGTGTGTAAGTCGTTAGTGGAGGGGGGATATGCCCTCTTTTAAAGGAAATGGGAGTTCTTTGCTCCAAAAATTTGTTTAAGGGCTTAGATACCCTTTAGGTAAAACTTTAGGGGGGGGGGGGTGCCCCTTTTCCCTATATATGGTCACACACACAAAAGGGGTATAAAGCGATATAAAAAATCAAGTACACCTCAATAGCTGATCATATTTTAAAAGCAACTTTGATACTTCTTTGCAATTTAAATGCAAGGATCTTATAATAAAGATGTGTAAATTTGTTGTTACATTTTGAGTAAACATAAGTGTACATTTTTATACATTTTATAAAGAATATGAGTGTACATTGGTATATTTCTTACAATAAAATGTTACATAACATTTCATCGTTTAATAGATACATTTCACCCATAAATATTAGCAACAACCCAAAAAAAAAACTTAATCCCACTAGTCACACATTGATCTTTGCTCAATTAATTCTCACTCTGTCGTGTCGAAACGTTGACGTCTTTAACGAGCACATAGAGTATTTAAATATAAATTAAAATGTTTATGTGTGAAGTGCACACTCATGCTTGGTCTGCATTTCGAATAAGTTTGAATGGAAATTTGACTTGCAATATCAAACAAAGTAATATGTTCGCCATATTGATTGATGGGTGTAAATGTGTAATATAATAATTTGGGGTGAATATGAAATGCTTTAAAAGTATGTGTAATGTACTTATATAATAACCTCAATTGCTACTTTGTGAGACATCTCTTATTATTTCCTACATCTCCTGCAAGGATGTATACATGATGTCAACAATGCTACAATCACCTCATCTTATCTATGTGGGAGATTTCACGTGTTGTGATTGACAAAGGAAGTGAGGTTATGAAATATCAGTACCCCCAAAGAACTTCATGATTTGAAGATTCTTTCTGAACATAGGCGATGATATAGCTGGAGAGGTAAATGATTGTTGTGTGACTTGTGTCTGTTAAAATATAAAATGAAATTCCTATCAAGCATTCGATCATGAGACCAAGTACCTAATATAATAGAAACCATTTATCTAGAGTATGTCAACTTAAAGCTATGAATCCTTACGTTTACCGCTACATTAAGAGTAATCGCTCATGGTGTAGCACACCCTTCCCCATTATAGATCAGGCAAAGCGATATGGTCGATTGCACTGGCAGATTGGCAGAACTGTTGGCACTGCATCCACGTAGCCCAACATTCCCCCAGCACCTGCCAGCCTACAACTGAGCAACAAGATATTGTCGGGGGGTCGAATTCATGACCTTTGCCTCTGATACCACTTGTGGATCGTTGTGCTTACGGCTACACTAAAAGCAATTGATGATATTGTAGCACACTCTTCCCTCTTTATAGAACAAGCAAAGAGCCATGGTCAATTGCACTGACAGGTGACAGGCTAGCAGAATTGCTGGCACCGCATTCCCACGGCCCAACAAAAACAAAGAGAAAAATATATGAATAAAAAACTGAAATGATCATCTTCAACTTTCTTGTTTTGAAAGATGACATCAACCTTGTCTATTCCATTATTAATCCTTGTTTATTCCATTATTAATATTATTATTATTATTATTATTATTATTATCAGTTTTTATTATTAATAATTATTTAAAAGGAAAGTTAACTTGATGGAGATGTATCTCATAGAATCAGAATAAGGTGGATGAAACAGAAGAGTGTTAGGTTTTATATGTGATTGATGCGTGCCGACTAGAATAAATGGTAATATTATCCGACAACAATTAGGTCTGCATTACCGTGGACGTAGGGTATTTGGCTCTGAAACAATGTCACATTCAAAAGATGAGTGCGACACAGATGCACATATTGCGTTATATGTGTGAACATACAAGAAAAGACCGCTTCAGAAATGAGATAATAAGATAAGAGTAGCACCTAGGGGTGGGCACGGTCCAGGACGGTCCGGGATTTGGCTTATCCCGATCCCGTCCCGGTTTTATAACAACGGTCCAGTTCGGTACGGGATAAGTCTTTATCCCAATGTTGTCCCATTTAAAACGGGGCCGGGACAACCTGAGAAAAAACGGGACGGTTCGGGATGTCCCATAAAATATGCATTTGTGAAATGTGATATAAAAATAAGCATAACATCAATATAAAGATGTAACTTTTTTTACAAATTTAGCATCCCCAAAAAGTTAAGTAAAACATTTAATTAACTATTTTTAATTTTGTCTTGTAAATTTTTTTTGGTCCCCCTAATCTTGTGTTTCCTCTAGTAGAATAGTAGCGCAAAATATTTTTATAATTTGTAGTACACTTGTAATTTTTCAATACTACATTAAATTAAATATCATATCTATAAAGACACTATATATATATATATATATATATATATATTCTAGTAGTTATTTTGGAAAATACTATTCCATCATAAA